AACTTTAAGTTGGAATCTTGAGCCACAAATTGCGTTGAGACATATGCATTTAAAAAAAGATATGCTCACCCACCCAGAATTGTTGAAGATTTGTGATTTAGTTTAAAAAAAAAAAAAGGAAAAACAGTTTGGCATTTTGAGTTTCAGAGGATTCTAGGCAAGGAAAGTTGGCTCATCAAAGAAAACCCTTTCCTAGGACCAAAAGTTGAAGGGAACCAGCCAGCGATATACTTGCTGAGGCACCATTGACCTTGAGATGAAATAAGAGGGAAAGCTGATTGTTTTGAAGTGCAAAGAGGTGTGTGCGATCTCCCAAGCTTGCAGCTGGTACTCATTTGACTTAGCTTGGATGGCTAGGGTTGTTGAGCTGACTAGAATCTTACCAGATAAACATGAAGATGTTTAATACTCTGAACAAGTATCAGTTGCTACAATTTGAAAGACTGGACTTTTGCTTATGGATATAGTTCCTAAAAATTCCAATCAGAATGAAAGTCTCTTCAGATCGAGGAACATGCATGTCTTCTCAGCACTTGATTGGTAGTATGGGCAATTTACACATTGCTATTCGCTGTAAGTCAGAACCGATTTCTCGGCACTTAACAACAACATTGCTATAAATGCATGAAGTGACTGACTTGACAAATTTCATGGGTGTGTTTGGTTTTAGAATGAGGGGTCAAGGGAAAATCCCCACTGACTAGTTTTGCTCTTTTCCAGATAGGTCTGGTAAAATGGGGTATAGAATGATGTTGATAAGATTTTATTATCTCATTATAACTGTTAGTAGTATTGGTTGTGATTGTCAGACTGTAATTGTGGAAGATAGTAGCTAAAAGGAGGGAATAGTTATTTTTCATTTCAGGAACAGAAAATCCCAGGACATCAAGAAGAAAGGACAAGAGTGAAACTTAGGATCCTTGCCTGAAGAAGCAGAGACAGCAGAGATGGTGGCAGAGGTGGTGACATGGAGTAACTATGGACTCTAGGCCCATGGACTGAATGTAGCTGTGTGCCTATGGGCTGGAGATAGGCTTTTGGACATTTATGTGTGCATCAAGTATTTCTGATTTATTCACATTTGATATATAAGGGGAAAATGGGGCTGGTGGGTTGTACGTGTTTTAGTTATGTCAAGCGCAAGTATGATACAACCTAATACAGGCATAGTTAGCTCTACCCTAAAGGGCATCCTGAAATGATACACTTCATGAGGATTTAAGAATAAATGAAGATGAGACCAGTAAGTGTAAATAGAAAAGAGGAGGATTTGTGAGAAATCACTCTTGTGGGCGTGGCCCATCTTCAGTGTAGGAATAAGGAAAGTGTTGGGGGTAGCAGGCTAGGATAACAAAAGGACCAGCTAGCAACTTTAAATAAGAGTACTGCCATTAAAGAGACTGACCTGGAAAGATGGAGTGGCTAAGGGGCAGGCTTGCAGGGTGTGTCCTTTGGTTGTTTGATGATCCATGGAGGGGATTGTAATCATTGCAATGAAATATGAAAGTATGAATGTAAAGCTCTCCTATGTAAACTATCATATGATACACAATAATAAAAAAAGAACACAGCCATTAAAGGAGCTCTGGTAGCATAGTGGTTACGAATTGGGCTGCTAACCTCAGGGTCAGCAGTTCAAAACTACCAGCTGTTTCTTAGTAGAAAGATGAGGCTTTCTGCTCACATAAAGATTTACAGCCTTGGAAACCCTGTACAGGGTCACTGTGAGTCAGAAACGACCCCATAGCACACTACCAGAACCACCACAGCCATTAAGACCATGGGCAAGCAATTTTGGCTTCTCTGGGGAGAGGGAAAACAGGAAGTGTTGGTAGAATTGTAAATGGGGGACTGGAACTATAGAAGGGGCTTTTTCAGGACAGGCAGAATAAAACTGTTTGTGGGCCGGCTGTGTCTGCCCGTGTCTAATGCGTTGGGCGCCCAATTTTGCAAAATTGGATAAAGAAAACCTCACTCACTAAAAATACAGATTGGATTAATTGAGTGTTTGTCAGTATGGACGTTTCTCACAGTGATGAAACCTAATACAGGCACAGTTAGCTCTATGATGAGTGGCTAGGAGCAGCCAGTCAATTGCAGGGATACTTCCTTGGGGGTGCGGCCTGCTTCCCATATAATGGACATGCTGGACTTGCAGGAAAGGCTTTTCTTCTCGTCTGCTTGGAACGTTGGACTCTACAATTGTAAGCCATTTCCTTGGTAACAAATTTCTCTTTATATACATACATAGAGTTTTCAATGGTTTTGTTTCTCTAGAAAACCCAACCTAAGACATGAGCACTTATCAGCAGTGCTAAAAGAGCTTTATAATACTTGCCCATTCAGGACAGAGGCCAGGCCAGACCAAGCATGGAATCTGTCTGCAGCACACTAAGAGGAGCCCTGCAGGGTTGAGAAATGAAGCAGCTGTCCTGCATTGAAGACGGGAAACTTTGCCTACATGTCTCCTGATCCTGAACTGTAGCCCATTAGTTCCCTAATAACCCCCACAACTGTGAGTATGATCCGTAAGTGCTATGTGGTCAATAAAACAAACTATCAAACCTAGCAGAGGAGTAGAGAGTGCTGGGGCTACTGTCAGAACTGGTAAAAAGGTTGGAGAGAGAAGGTATGTCTAACCTCTGCCATAGGGATCAACTTTGGGCTCACGGTCTTGATTCCCTTCCTCCTTGTAAAGTTAGCCCCGGTAGCACTGTGAGTTAGGCATTAGATTGCTAACGACAAGCGAAGAGGTTCAGACCTACCAGCTGCTCTACTTCCTTAGAGACCGACTCTCAGAAACCCTAGGGAGCAGTTCTACTCTGTCCTATAGGGTCACTGTGAGTAAGAATCAACTTGATGACAATGGGTTTGTGAAATTAGAGGTTGTCAGATGCCACTACACCATTTCACACCCCCTGAACTTCAGTTTCCTTATCTGTGAATGACAAGGGTTACCTACAGTTTAGGAAGTTGAAAGGATTCCTATATTTGCTGACAAACACAACAGGACAAACTGTGTTCATGGGAGAAAGAGCTGGGTTTTTAAGCAGAAGACACCACATTTGTGTGGCCACTCACAGCACCCATATTAGCAAAACACAACTGTAGAAAATAACATCTGTCCAGCTGTGTGGATAGTGACAGTCTACTAATGACAAAAAGATGATCTGGACATGAGGAAGTCCCAATCACAGGCTTTCAACCCCAAGAAGTTTGCCACTTCCAATAGACTCATGTTGAACATTACTCAAAAAGCTTCACCCTTAAAAAACTCCCTTATGAAATTGGGATGTTACATATATATCTGAAATATATAAATTCACTGAAGTATTTACCTATTCAGTTGTTCTACACATATTTGTCAAATGCCTACAGCATGCCATGCACTTTTCTAGAACCTGAAAATACAGATGGAAGCAAAGTCCCTGCTCTCATGGAGAGGATGCTAGTTAAAGACAGAGACAATGAACAAATACATTTCCCCCCTTTAATATTCTATTGTACAGTGAAAAAGTAATATAGATGGGTAAGCACAGGATGTCCAAGTGTTGTTACTTTATACTGGGAGGTCAAGAGAGGTTTCCTTTCAAAGGTCACATCTGAGCCAAAGCCTGAAGGCAAAGGAGGCACCAGCTGTTGTTATCTGGAGCCTGTGATCAGGGCAGAGGAGAAAATGAAGGGGCACAGAGATCTCCTAAGGAAACAGCCAGGAAAGGAGCCCTTTGAGGCCCATGAACTCCTGGATAGTGACTGGCACAGTGAGCATTCTGGAGAGGGAGGTGGCATTACTCCCATTTATAGAGGAGGGTGGCTTACAGAACTGTCTCATGTTTAGGAGCTAGACCCAGATCATTGTGCTAACTGGATCAGCGCTTTGGAGCCTACCAAACCAGATCAAAGTAAACTCACTGCCAACAATACAGTGACCCTGTAGGGCAGAGTAGAACTTCCCCATAAAGTTCCCAAGGATGTCAGTCTTTACAGGTACAGACTGCCTTATCTTTCTCCCAAAGAGGAAGGAGCTGGTGGATTTGCTGACCTTGTGGTTAGTAGCCCAATACTTAACCTGCCATTTTGGCAAGGAGATCCATCCAAGATGAAATGTAATCTGCAATCCTCCTGGACTACCTCCAGAATCACAGACTGAGGATTCCCAGCAATCCCAACTACAGAACTGAAAAAGGGAAGCTCACTCACCATCCTCTGGTCCTCGGCCCCGGGACCGGGGCTTGTGGCCCACCAAGCCAGGGCCTGTGTGCACCTCAGGAGTTTCAAACGTGGCTGGAGTTACATCTAGGAGATGAGAGGGGATGGAAATTAGAGCCAACTCAAGGCAACCAGCCAGCTAGCTTCCCCTCTCTGCCACTCACAGACTCCTCTTACAGGGGGGTGGGGGCTCTCGGGACATCTTGCCCAAGGCAGAGCCGAACTTGATGGCGATTTGGCGCATCCGCTCCAGGTCCCCATTCTCCTCTGCCTCTAGATACTCCTTCTGTGCCTGTAACTTCTCTACGTCAGGAAAGAAGTCTCTCTGAATGACTGCCTGGAGGCCCTGTCACAAGAAACAGGAACAAGTTAGAGTCACTACCTGATGCCGCCTCCTCTAAGTTCAGTGATGTATTCACTATGGCCCTTGCTGAGCCCCTTCAACCTTTTTGTACCCCAGTGACCAGCTACCTCCTAATCCCCCGAGCTTGGGGTTATCTTTGAGCAGAAATGAATATATCGTATTTGGTCTAGCTAGCTGCAACATCCGACCCAAGTCAACACTCCTCAAGTTTCCACAAAATCCTTCTCCCTGCTTTACTGGTTGTTCACATTCTCTTCTGCTGTCTCTCAGCCTCCACATCAGCTGAACCATCGTGACTGTTGACACCTCTATTACAACCATCTAAACCCTTTTTTCCTGCGTGATGTCTGCCAGTCATTCCACGGTTTGCATACCACCACATCAGTTGAGACAATCCATGTACTAAAGGCCTTGTTCCAAAGCACTGCACCCACTCACAGCTGGCCACTGATAACACCTGCTTGTACGTCCCAGAAATGAACACCAGTAGTGCAGTGAATTAAGCACTGAACTACTGATAGGTTGGTGGTTTGAACCCACAAGCTGCACATAGAAAGAAAGATACGGATGTCTGCTTCTGCAAAGATATACAGCCTCGGAAACCTGTGTCACAGTTCTACATTCCATGGGATTGCTTTGAGTGTCAGATCAACTGAATGGTAGTGGTTTTAGTTTTGGTACATCCCAGAAGCATTCCAAATTTTACCAATCTAAAAGCAAACTGACTTCCTCCAAATGTGCCTGCTACCAACACATACTTCCATTTATCAACACCTACTTTAAGAGTCCCCTGAGGCCCACGCACTTGCTGCCCCCATAACCTCAGTCTGTTTCCAGAACCTCTAGCCAGCCCCTACTGTTACCGCCCTCTTTGTCACCATCCTTCCAGTCCGCCGAATTACTACTCACGCTCTAACAGAAAACTTTCCTTCCCAAATCTCCCCACACCACATACACTGAGTCGCCGTGGTCTCCTTCCCCTGAAAACCTGCTTGTACGCCCTTAAAGATCCCTTTGTCTTCACCGCTTACTTGTCCCTTGGACCGTCCATACCACAAAGGCAGGAGCGCTCAGACTGCTCCACCTCCGCTAGGCAATAGCGCGCGCCACGACCCGAAAAGAAAAGCTCGAGAGACGAAAGAGAAGCAAAAAGCTGTAAGGGTCCTGAAGTCGCTAGCATCCGCACCCAGGTTGTACCTCGATGTACTCTTCCTCGTCCAAGACCTGTTGCTTGCTCCTCGCAATCCCCGAGGCAGCCTCCGCCGTGCGTTTCCGCCCAGGTCCGGGAGCGGTGGAAAGCAACAGGTCCCGGGCTGAAACCCCCGGCGTCTCCATTGCTTTCCCAGGATCGCTCGGACAGCGCAGGCGCATCACTGGGCCAAAGGCTGGGGCTGGGTGGTGCCTGAAACTGTACCAACTGCGCATGAACATTACGCAGCCAGCCAATGGGAGAACTGCGTGCTTCCAAGGTCGGCCTGCGCTCCTATATTACGTCACTAAGAGCGCTCGGCCTTACGGGAGTTGTAGTCTTCGTTCCCTACGTTGGTCACTTGCATGTGGGCTGTGGATACTAGGGAGCTCAGCGCCGTGTCGTTTAATAGTGAAAAATTTATCACTATGTGTGCTTCAATATGGTTAGGAAAAACGTACGCTTTAAACATGTTGTTTAGAAAAGTGGTGACAGCAGAGACAGTGGCAGAGGCTGTGGCATTAAGAGAGCCGCTGCTAGCTATAGGCCTATGGACTAAGACCGTATGGGGACAGGAGGCTAGCTTGCACAATGTGCCCTTTGGACGTTTAAATGAATACATATTTTTTGTTTTGTATATGCACATCAAATGAAAAAGAAAAGAAACGAAGGAAATATTGGTTATATACACATTTCAAACTTTATGGGAAATGAGAATCCTAAAACAATTATTTTCCTGATAGTTATTGAGCAAATATAAAAACATTTTTAAATGTCTGTTGTTGTTGTTAAGTGCTAGTGCAGTCGGTTCTGACTCACAGTGACTCCTGCAGGGTTTCCTACCAGGGAACAGCTGTTGGGTTTCAACCACCCATCTTGCAGTTAGCAGTCCAGTGCTTATCCTACAGCGCCACCCCAGTATCTTCCCCTCAACCCCCCCAAACAAAATGTGGTGGTGGTGGTGGTGGTGGTGTTGTTGTTGTTGTGTGCCGTGGAGTCGATTCCGACTCATAGCGACCCTGTACAGGGTTTCCGAGGCTGTAAATCTTTTAAGGGAGCAGAACGCCTCATCTTTCTCCCGCGGAACAGCTGGTAGTTTCGAACTGCTGACCTTGCGGTTCACAGCCCAATTCGTAACCACTACGCTACCAGAGCTCCTTAAACAAAAGTTGACGCTTATTAGGAACCTGAATAGCAGCAGTATGGGCTTCCCAGAAGAGGGTAATTCTCACTAAAGTCACCCAATGTTGCTTAAGCATTTATCAGGAAGAATGTCTACCCCCAAAGAAGAATTACATCAGACAAATAAATTCATCCCAAATCAATGTAGTACAACTTTGCTTTTTACTATTGCAATCATCTCTTCATTTCCAACTTGTGATAATGATTTCTGCCCTGGTTGAGCTGACAGTCTAGTGGGAAAGACAGCCACTAGTTAGATCACCCTAGAAACAGGCATAGCATTGCAGCTGTCACAAGTGCAAGCAAGAGTTTTTATTTAGGGAATTTGACCCAGTTAGGGAAGTCAGAAAGGAGCTCTGGTAGCGTAGTGGTTATGAATCGGGCTGTGAACCTCAGGGTCAGTAGTTCGAAACTACCAGCTGTTTCTTGGGAGAAAGATGAGGCTTTCGGCTCCCGTAAAGATTTACAGCCTCGGAAACCCTGTACAGGGTTGCTGTGAGTCAGAACCGACTTCATGGCACATAACAACAACAACAACGAGGGAAGTCAGAGGAAGTTTCCCTGGGCAGGAAATGATTGTAGAGCCAAAGGATGGACAAAGGATTGATCAGGTGAAGAGGGAACAGGCAAGTTCTAAAAAGGCCTTTCTTGGGCAAAGAGGAGTGAAGGGTAAGATAACATCAGAAGGACAGAGACCAGATATGGGTCATGGTGAGAAATTTTAACTTATTCTGAGAGTAATAAGAAGCCCTTGGAGTGTTGTAGGCAAGGGAAAGGTAAGTTCAGATTTACATTTGACTTTAATGGAGAATGAATTGAAAAGGAGCCAGAGTGAGTGCAGGTAGACAAACCTGGAGGCAAATTGCAATACTCAAGGTGAGAGATGGTGGCAGTTCAAGATGGTACAGTTGACGCTGGAGAGAAGATAGATTCTAGGGTTTTTTGAAGGTAAAATCAACTTCTTGTGGCCTCCATATAGAAGATGTGGAAGAGGGAAAAGAGTCAGAGTGATTACCAGTCCTCTAGTTCATGTGTATGGTTTGGATGGGAAGAGTTCGTTGTGGGCAAAATGGAGCAGTCAAGGGAAATGACTGGCACTGACATATAAATGTGGCAGAGAGAACACAATCAGATCCTGAGGGTGGGAGAGATTGGAGATGAAAGGGGAATGACTGGGACTAAGACTCATGGATGCCTTTATAAAGGAGGAAGTGGTAAACTTTCAAAGGAGCAGCTAGAGGGAGGAGAAGATCTAGGAAGGAGGCACAATCCATAGTCCCAAAAGTCAACCTCAGGCTGACTCATGGCCGCCCTGCAAAATATCAAACATCCAGTCAGGGCTGCTTACTGTGAGTTCAAACCCACCGGTCTCTCCTCTGGAGAGAAAAATGAATGAAGCAATCTGTTCCCATAAAGATTTACAAAGTTGAAAACCCTAAATGACAGTGGTTGTTTTGATAAGTGGGACAAGTCATCTAGAATCCAGTGACAGGGGAATGTTCCAGTCCTCAGGGAAGCTGGCCAGAATATGGTATTGTCCCCAGATGTACAAGTGCAGTCTCTAAGGGAAAGGGCAGGATTCAGAGAGAACTTTGTGATAGCCAGAAATGTGTCCCTGGGAAGGGAAGGCATGAGTTTCCTGTCCTGAAGTCACCAGCAATGCTTGGGTAGCCTAGGCTGAGGGATGTGATGTGTTGGAGTGTCCCAGGAACCACGGCCTTGGTTTCTGCACATTGAATATAGATGGACTTTGTTTCCTGCCAGATACGTAGCACCAGATGCCATCCAGTTGATCCTGACTCATGGCAGCCTATATGTGTCAGAGTAGAACTGTACTCTACAGGGTTTTCAGTGACTGATTTGTCAGAAGTACAGCATCAGGCCTTTTTTTTCTGAGGCTCTGGGTTGACTCAAGCCTCCAACCTTTTAGTTAGCAGTCAAGTGCATTCACTTTTTGCACTACCCAGGTATTCCCTTGCCAGATGACTGCCCCCAATTCCCTCCAGTACTATTGGAAACCAACAAGGTTCCCAAGTCAGATGAAGGGGTGCTAGGTGCCTTGGGCCCACTTGAAGAACAGAACTTTGTTTTCATGCTTTTATCTTGGAGCTAGGCTGATGTGGGGAGACGAGGTGTCAGGCACTTGCCAAAGCAGTAGGGTCTCCCCAGTCTAATCCCTTCTCCAATCTTTCCAGTCTAGATTGGTAGAGGGAGGCTGACTTTACAACATGGAGACCCATGAAGCAACAGTGTTAGTGGCCAGCACTGGCCCCAGGAGCAATATGTTCCACTGGGATTCTGCAGGCTCACCCCATCTGAGGACTCCCTGGACTGTGCTTCCTCCCAAAGAGAAACCAGGCCACCACTCCCTGGGAAGTAAGAAGGAGGGGCAGGACCCCTGCTGGGCCCTGTAAGGGAGCCACATGATGAGTCTCAGCTTCTTTTGCAGTGTATTTGTTTCTTTATTTATCTGTATCAGCATGAGATCACAGGACTCAGGAGTAAGGAAGGGGGCTTCTGGAGATCATATCTTTCAACCTACCTATTCTACAGGTCCCAACACACTAGGACACACATAGACTGCCCACAGTGCCTAAGGGTGGAGTCGAGGGTAGGCAGAGTCTGTTGTGATCAGGTGGGGGGTGGGTATGTCCATACTTGAGGAAAAGAAAGAGGCATGCCCTTCTTCCCCGCCCCACCCCCCCCCCACCCCCCCAGTTGAGGAAGGAGATGTCACTGGGAAAGACTTCTTTTTTGGTGGTTCCTTTTCTGGGTTGAGAGTCCTGAGGATACTGGCCTGCTGTGTGTCCTTGCAGCCTTCGAAAGCCTTGACTGAGAAAGGACAAGGTACCAGTGGCTGGGTATGACCATCCTCTTGTGGGGGCAGGTGACCTTACCATAAGGGTGCTACTCTGAGCATTAATTCCAGGCCTCAGAAAGCTGAGGACCAGAAGCCTGTTGTCATCTTTTTCTGATAAATCTATTCTTTGTTCTGAGTCAGGCCCCAGAGACCAGCCAAGCCCAGGAAGGGCTCTCTGAGCATCAACAGCCTTCTTTGGAAGGCTTCTTGGCTCCGGGTAGGAACCTCGAGGATACTGACGCACGCTTCTGGTGTCGCCACTTGGCTCTGCGGTTCTTGAACCAGACCTGAGGACAGGAGGAAGGGGGAGTTACCCAGTCCCAGTCCCAGGACTTGTGGCCACTACCTGACTCCCAAACAAGAGCATGGACTGACAAGAGCTGAGGGCCATCACCCTTTATTCAAAGCAGAGAGGAACTGTGGCTCAGACCCATGAGCGAGAACCCCTTTTCCAGCCAATAGCTGGTGGCATCCAGGACGCCCCTTCTGTGTTTTGAGAAATTGTGAGCTTCTTAAATTCTGGAATAGGAACATGTGGTGTATCTCTTATCATCAGGGGAAAAAAAAAAAAGTTTAAGACAAAGTAAAAGAGAACTACCCTCATCTTCTTGGCCCTCCAGTTCCGGTCACACTCCAGACACACCTGCGCCCCACCCCCACCCTCGCCCCTCTCAACCACAAAAGCGCACCCTTGCACCCCCAGGGGTCTGGCGCTCCTGGGGTCTGTCTGCTCCCTCCAACATATCAGACCTCGGCAGTCTTTAAAACCTGAAGATCACTGGCAATCAAGTCACACCAATGACGCCTCTTTCGGACGGACCGGCGGACACTCACCTCCACGCGCTCCTCGCGCAGGCGTAAACGGCAGGCCAGGCGCTCCCGCGTGCTCACGTCGGGGTACTGGTTCTGCACGAAGAGCGCCTCCAGGGCCTGCAGCTGCTCCTCGCTGAAGATGGTGCGGTGGCGCCGTGTGCGCCGTTGCGGGCCCGGCCCCGGCCGAGCCACCGGGCCTCCGGACTGCGCCCCCGCGGCCAAGAGCAAAGGCGCCGCGGGCCCCAGCCTCAGCGGCCACGGCAACCGAGCGCCTGCGGTCAGGGGCGCCTTAGCTGCCGGGCTGCGGCTGGTCGCTCTTCCCCCAGCCCCAACCCTGGCCCCGGCCCCAGCCCCGGCCCCGCGCCGCCTGGCGCCCCGGCGCACCAACTCACCCAAACCGGCGGTGGGTTCTCGGGGTGCTCCAGGGCCACAACAGCAGCAGCAGGTGCAAGTAGCGGCTTCTGCCGGTCCGGCCCTCGCGGGCTCAGCGAGCTCCCCCGAACTCTGGCGGCCCGCGGATGACGGCGGGCAGACGGTCGGGCCCGGAGGGTTGCACGTGGGCCGGCTGGAGAGGATGTGCTCGATGGAGAAGGGACACGGCCGGGCTGGACCCCGGCGGCTTGCCGCACCCCCATCCGCCTCCATGCCCTGTTGAGCTGCCGCAGCAGCCGTGTGGATATATACGAGTACGTCGGGGCAGCGCACGGTAATCCCCTGGCCCGCCGCCGGGTCCACGCGGACTAATCCGGCCGCGCTGGGTAAGAGAATGCTAATCCCCGGCTGCGGTGGCGGGGGCCCTCCTCTGCTTTGGATGGTGGCAAGGGCCCTACTCCACCTTGGAGCGGCGGGCGCTCAGCTAAGGGGGGTCTGGTTGGACTGGGGAGGACCTGCCTCCGCAGACGTCCCTGTTCCCCATCAAAGACTAACCGATCCCTCTGGGACAGCCTGTTCTGTAGCCGCGGCAGCCAAGCCCCTCCCGAACCCCACCAAGGCTGGTGAGCAAGTCTAGAGGAATCCAACCTGCCTGGAAATATCCGGGCCCCCAAACTCTTGGTCTCCAAATACGGAGAGGGCACTACGGCATCCGGGTACCCTGTAGCTCAGTCAGTTCACATGTTGGCCCCAAACCTTCCCCTCTGAAATGAAATGACCTAGGCTGCCCAAAACCAAGCCTTGAGCTTGCTGCTGCAGGCCCGCAAACCACAATCTTATTACAGTCTTTGCCCGATTCTCTGCCTTCTTTCCCAGCACGAGGAAGCCTGCGAGATCTCCCCTCCTGCTTTCCCAGACACTCCGCAAAAACATTTAACACCCTTTCCTTCACCCCACATTACTCCACCCTCTGCCCCACCCCGCTCTCCAGTTGAGTCTGCCCTCCTCAGGTCAGTCGTCTCTGTCTACACTACCTCAGGAATTCATTGTGCTCAACCTTACTGGTAACTTCCACTTTGCCAAATTCTGTGACGATCCTTTAGCAGTTTAACAGTTTTGGCTTACTGGGGACTACTAGTTAATGCCTTCCTTGCTTGGTGTCTGAAATACAGTGTGACTCACAGAGATATGCAACAAGCTGCTTTGCTTATACCCCCATTTTTACTTCCTGGCTGTATGAACACCTCATTTTTCTAATCTATAAACCTGACTCAAGCGTTGCTCTCAGAACATAGTCTGTGATGTGTTTAGAGTCCAGTTGTAGGAAGAGTGGGCTTCAGGAATGTTTGCTGACTGGGGCAGCAATTACATTCCCACTCTTCCCACCTCGCTGGATCTTCTTCAAGCTTTTTTGCTGCTTCTACTCCAACATCAGTAAGGACATTTTGGACTTCAAGTGACAGAACCTACTGACTCAACTGCTGTCCCAAGAGGCCTCAATATAGGATGCATTGTTGTTGTTGTTATGTGCCGTGGAGTCGGTTCTGAGTCATAGGGAACCTCTACAGGGTTTCCGAGACTGTAAATATTTATGGGAGCAGAACGCCTCATCGGGCAGAACAGCTGATAGTTTCAAACTGCTGACAGTGAGATTAGCAGCTCTATTCGTAACCACTACGCTACCAGAGCTCCTTTATAGGATGCAGGCTGGGTGAGTCACCGCCATTCACAGAAGTCAACTCTATCACCAAGATGGCAAATTTAAGGAGCTCTGCTGCGTAGTAGTTACGAATCGGGCTGTGAACCTTAAGGTCAGCAGTTCGAAACTACCAGCCGCTCCGTGGGAGAAAGATGAGGCTTTCTGCTCTCATAAAGATACACAGCCTCAGAAACCTTGTACAGGGTCGCCAAGGGTCAGAACCGACTTGACGGCACTTAACAACAACAATGCATCCTATAAGGAGCTCTGGTAGCATAGTGGTTACGAATCAGGCTGCGAACCATAAGGTCAGCTATTTGAAACTATCAGCTATTCCGTGGGAGAAAGAGGAGGCTTTCTGCTCCCGTAAAGATTTACAGCCTCGGAAACCCTGTACAGGGTCGCTATGAGTCAGAACCAACTCCACGGCACACAAGCTGCCATGCATTCTATGCACAGATCTTTTAAATTTGGCATCTTGGTGATAGAGATGACCTCTGTGAATGGCGGTGCCTCTCCCAGCCTGCCTCATGGTTGCAGGATGACTGCTGTGACCCTAGACATTCAATCTCTTCAAATGTGGTTGCCCATGGAAACCTCTCTCACAGAACAACTTCACACACATGCACCTAAACCAACTACAATGTCCAGCAACACAATGCTCAGGGAGCTAGATGGTGCCAACTACGCACTCAAGTCAGAATTCTACTAGGAAAGGGGCAGCAGGTCAGTGTTATAAGGGGCATCACCATGTCTCCTCCTTCCAACCATGGCTGATCCTTCATCTCTCCTTATTCTCACCCTTGGTGATTTCCTCCAGCCTTGGATCTTCAGACACCATCCCTGTGACAATCACTTCCCAATTAATATCTCCAGCCTGGCCTCTCCTCTACTTCAGGCTTGTATTTCCTGAAGCCAGCCCCATTTCTCCATTTGGATGACCAATAAACATCTTCTGGTTACCATGTCAGAAATGAACTCAAGATCATTTTCTGAAAATCTGTTCCTTCCTGAGTATTTTCCACCTTGGTAAATGAACAATCTGTTTACTTCAGTAAATACACCATCTCTTCATCTGTCCGCATATTTGCATATGTCCCACCTCTTCACCATTCCACCTTGATAAATAGCCTCCTGTGCTGGTTCTCAAACCCATCAGCACTCCTTTCAAGAGTTGGAGTCTAATTACCTTCTCCTTGAATGTGGGCTGACTTAACGACTTTCTTATAACCAATAGAATGCAGCAAGGGGCATGAGTAATTCCAGACCCAGATATACATCAAGTAACAAAGCCCCTCTCTTTAGGGATGCTTGCTTTTATAACTCAGTCATCATGCTATGAAGAAGCGCAAGTAGCCAAAAGGAGGGGACATGCATTGGTGTTCCAAATACCAGCCCCACTGGAAGGACCAGTCAACAACTAGCATCAATCACCTACAAGTGAGTGTGGATGCCTTCAGGAAGACCAAAAGGAGCCACCTAGCTACACCTAGTCAATATCCCCAACTATGAAGGATACTAAAAATAGATGCAGATGTTTCTACAGCAAATGCTGGAGGAGGTTTGTTAGGCAGCTATTCATAACCAGAACAGGTTTTGATAGAGGCAATGGAGTGCTGCCACTACAAACTTAAACCCTGCGGTGTTAGCTTTGGGACCAGGCTGAAAGGGCCTGACCAAAGCTGAGAGTGAGGACTTAGAGTAGAATGTGGACAATCTTATTGAAATATGGAGGAAAGGAGACCCTTGTTATATAGTGGCAGAAAATTCAACAACACTATCACCTGTGGTGGAGTGGTAAATGGACAATATATCTAATGTATGAGATGATGTAGTTGAAGAGATAACTAGGTAGAAAGCTACAGATGCTGCCTGATTTCTAGCCACCTACAGTAAAACTGAGAGGAGAAAACTGCTGAAGAATGAACTGTTAGATGTATACCATTGGCTTATAAAGTAACACATACACTGGCCATATGAGGCAGGCCATGTACCCTAGAGAAATGAAAACTTGTGTGCAAAATGTTTAGAGTAGCTCTATTCATAATTGTCAAAGCTTGAAAACAACTCAAATGCTCATCAGCTGATGAATGGATAAACCAAGAGTGATACATCACACCATGGAATATCACAACCAAGAGGAGGGAACTGTAGAGGACCTGAGTGGTGATGAGACATGCCACAACAGTGGTGCATTTCATAGACTAAGGGAAAGGACCCAGACTCCTTCACATACAGTGGAATTCCATTTACATGGCATTTTAGGAAAAGGCAAAACTATAGGAGTTGGGAAGGGGTTGTTACTGTTGTTGTTAGGTGCCATCAAGTCGGTACTGACCCATAGCAACCTTATTCACAGCAGAATGAAACACTCTCCGATCCCGGGCCAACCTCACTACTATTGCCACGATTGAGTTCATTGATGCTAACACTTAGCCAATCCATGTCGTTGGAGTTCTTCCTCTTTTTCTCTGACCCTCAACCTTACCAAATATTATATCCTTCTCCAGCAATTTGTCCCTCCTGACAATATGTCCACAGTATGAGAGAAGAAGTTTGGCCATCTTGGCCTCAAAGGAGCACTCTGGCTGCACTTCTTCCAAAACAGATCTATTGGTTCTTCGGGCAGCCCATGGCACTTTCAGTATTCTCCTCCAACACCATAACTCAAAGGCATCAATTCTTCTACAGTCTTCCTTATTCACTGTCCAGCTTTCACATGCATATGAGGTTACTGAAAATACCATAGCTTGGGTCAGGTGCACCTTAGTCCTCAATCTGACTTCTTTGCTCTTCAACACTTTAAAAAGCTGTAGTGCAGCAGATTTGCCTGATGCAATACATAGTTTGATCTCTTGACTGCTGCTTCTGTGAGTGTTGATAGTTGATCCAAGGAAAATGAAGTCCTTGACAACTTCAATCTTTTCTCCTTTGATAAGAATGTTGTTTATTGGTCCAGTGGTGAGGATTTTTGTTTTCTTTACATTGAGATGTAATCCATACTGAAGGCTGTGCTCTTTGATCTTCATCAGTAAATGTTTCAAGTCCTCTTCACTTTCAGCAAGCAAGGTTGTATCATCTGCATATCTCAGGTTGTTGGAGTCTTTCTCCAATCCTGATGCCACGTTTTTCTTCATAGAACCCAGCTTCTCTTATTTGCTCAGCATACAGGTTGAATAAGTATGACGAAAGAATACAACCCTGCCTCACACCTTTCCCAATTTTAAAACATTCAGTGTTCCTATGTTCTGTTCGAACTGCTTCTTGGTCCAGGTACAGATTCCTCATGAGCACAATTAACTGTTCTGTAATACTCATACTTCACAGTGTTGTCCATAGCTTGTCATGATCCACACAATCGAAAGCTTTTGTGTAGTCAATAAAGCACAGGTAAACATCTTTATGATATTCTCTGCTTTCAGCCAAGATCCATCAGACATCAGCAATGATATCCCTCATTCCACGGCCTCTTCTGAATCTGGCTTGAACTCTGGAAGTTCTCTGTCAATGTATGATTGTAGCCATTTCTGTATTACCTCTAGCAAAACTTTACTCGTATGAGATATCAAAGAGATTGTCCAATGATTTCTGCATTCCATTGAATCACCTCTCTTTGGAATAGGCACAATTATGGATCTCTTCCAATCAGTCAGCCAGAAAGTTGTCTTCCAAATTTCTTGGCAGAGATGAATGAGTGCCTCCTGTGCTGCCTCACGTTCTTGAAAGATTTCAATTTTGATTCCATCAATTCCTGATGCCTTGTTCTTTGCCAATTCCTTCAATGCATCTTGGACTTCTTCCTTCAGTGTCATTGGCTCATCATCATATACTACCTCTTGAAACAGTTGAACATTAACCATTTCCTTTTGATACAGTAACTCTGTGTATTCCTTCCATCTTCTCTTGATGCTTTCTGCATCATTCAATAATTTGCCCTCAGAATGTTTCAATAATGAAAGTCGAGGCTTGAAATTTTTCTTCAGTTCCCCAAGCTTGAGAAATGCTGAGAGTGT